TGAATCTAAACTGAACAAGATTCATCTTGCAAAATTTTTGAAGCATCTTGTGAGATTGATTTGTTAGTTCAAATTGAACTCTAGAACATCATCCTCAACATTGAGGAATTTAATCCAAATGTAGCAAGATCCACATAAGTTGGATTCAATCATATCTCTATTAAGATGAAGTCCGATCATGATAACACAACAAAAATATCAAAAAGACTATAATCCTAGTCGGTCTGGATTAAATTTTACATTCTCACAATGTCAAGCAAAATTACATGTGACGTGCTACAATAGCTATCGTAATGCAAATATAGGAAATGTTGGGAATTGGATGTTGACAATAATGTTGATAATAATGCTGGAAAATAAACCAAAGTTGATTCAAGTGACAAGGAGCAAGTTCAAAACAATGTTGAAACAATTGGAAGTACAAATTTCAATTTAAAAAAAGACACGATGGATCAAATGCGATGAGCATATGTAACCATATCATATGCTATCAAAGAGAAAAGAGTAAATTACAAGAGTGTGAGTTGGTTTTACACTTGAGACTCTGGTACAAGAAAAGTATTGAGAAGAATTTGAGTCTCAAGGAATCTCGGTCTACTTTCTCCTCATTCATAGTCAGCTCATTTTGGAGTAACATCCTAATGGTATGTTCTTTTGTGTCAATTTTGAAATTGTAGGCGTAAGATGCAGAACTTTGGACTTTCAAAAGTAGTTACAAATGTGTGATAAAGATGAAATCTTCACTCAAACAACACAAGATAAAAGTTCAAGTGTTCAAGAAACCAATCTAGATCATAAGCAGAGACTTAATCACATCTCCAATTCATGTTAAGATGTGAAATCTATCACGTAGCTTGTGTTTTTATAAAAAAAACGCAAAATTTATACTATAATTCTTGTTTTTACTCGTACATTTTTGCATTTTGTGCTTCGATAACGACATTGCTTTTTTTTTGTTGATAAACGTCTTTCGTCTCCTCAAATTTTTTAACCACTATTTGACTCCTTATTAATCTTGAGTTCATAATTGTTCATGTGTTCTTGGTCTAATCTAATCTCTTGTCTTGTTTTTAAGAGTCTCAAACATGCTCTAGACGTTATGTTTTAGATTCTTTAGAACAAAAACATTTGCTAAGCATGTATAAGGAGCAATCATTTGAATCATTTTTTGGAACAGAATGGACAACTAGTACCAATCAAACAAGCAATAATCTTCTACTACAAATTTACAAAACAAGAGTAATAGATTAGATTATATCACTAATTGCATTCCAATAGTCAAAATCTCACAACGCTCAAACTTCTACATCTCAACTCGCTCCGAGCTTTCATACCAATAGTTATACCATAAAACAAGAAGTTTTCAAAACAACATAAACTCAAACATAAAATAACACATGTAGGGACACGACATCAACAACAAAATATGTGGTGTGCTATTTCCAAGCTATGTACACAGAAATTAGAAGGTTTTAAGGTAATCTAAACAATATTAATTTAGAGATATATTTCTTGCTCCTATATAGTGAGGGTGAGTAAATCTAATAAACTTAAAATTCCCCAAATCTAACCTTAACCATGATTAAGTTAACTAGATTTGACCTTGGACTTGAGTTAATAATAACATAGTATTCAATAATATTATAGATATGTTTAAAAATTTTATTAGAATTTTGCATTATAAATAATCATTCATATTTTCTAAAAATATCAATCAATGAATATTTAAATATGAACATCACCATGTTTTTTTAATTTAACATGTTACAATAGATCCAAACCTAGATAAATGAAGAGCAAAGAGAAAAATGTATGAGCTCAAATGAAGTGTTTTTTACACCAAATGACTCAAGCATTCTCAAAATGAAACAATGAGTAGTTAAATATTCAAATGAAATCTTCAAGCATAAAAATTTTATGAACAACATTTTAATTCATGATATTAAGCTTGATATATATTTGTTACAAAAATACTTAAGATGTTATGACTTTTGAAGTTATGTGTCATACATTATGATAAGGTTGTAATATGGAAGAAAGATATATCATGAAACATGATATATCTTGAAAATGTATCAATTTAAAATAGAAGTTACATGGAATGATAGGCTTCAATTCATGGATTTAAAAATGAATATATTTGAAAGTAGCAATCTGATTAATATCCTACATGTTATCATCTTTCTTTATGTAGTTATTCACACCCAAGAATATAAATGATCAAAAAATACAAGAGAGAAGTCCATGTGAGATGTAAGAAAATGACTTTTAGTGGCAGACTCAATCATGACAAAGCTTCATAGAAGAAAGCAGTTTCAGTCTTTCATTAGCAAGGTGATGAATATCTAGTTTGACCATAAGCATGCTAAAGGTCGTGAAAATAAACGGTATCTTGTAAGTCTGCTCTCTCTCTCTACCTACACCATTCACAAAATGCAATTTGCTCGATGAGAAACAAAGTCAACAACCATTTTTTCAACATATATTCATTTGAACTGCGAAACCTGTCAATAATACCTAAGTATTGAAACGATGATGTTGTAAATTAATTGCTCCATCCATCTCATTCACAACGAATGTAGTAAGAGAAAGAACCAATTTCGTAACACACGAATTCAGTTGGATTGTGAAACTTGAATGAAGTTTATATAGTCTCAAATCTTAGCTACTCTAGAACCTGTGACCGTGTACCTGTAATGATGTAGTTTTCCATTGTGATGATTCAGGACCAGCCCTATGTTCTCACTTTATTTTTATACTTGTAGTACTTGATGGGCTATCATATCTGTGATTGTCTATAGTGCAATCATTGAATTCCCAACGAAAAATTAATACCCTGATGGGATCTTCCCATCCTTTCTCGCTATATCACTTGGTGGCCCTCTGTAATATTTATGTCTGGAAATGAAAGTAGCCGAGGGCGGGAGACGTCAAATCCCGAAGGCTGCGAATCCAGTGGACGCTCGAACGATATGACGAGCTCAGGCTGATTGGGTGTCCTGCAAAGTTGGAAATTGAAAGAGGAGAATTAACTTTCATGAGAAATAGACACGGATGCAGTGGGAACCCATGAAGCGGGGAAGAATCATGCGGACAATAAGAGGCGCGCGAGCACCAATGGTTTCGCCCCCGCTCGACTAAATTTTGTGGTCAAGAAGCTCATGCGCGGACCGGGCCGCCAACGTGGACACCATATTAATAGCGGATAGACACGTTCGAATCACTCGGTTTAGACACGCGCCACCATCAGCCTCACCGGCCCTTGTGACAAAGATTTACCATTCTCCGTCACCTCGGCCAATGAGGGCCTCGTGGGCTTTCACCCGTACCTCTGAAAATAACCCGCAGCCTAGTAAAGTGCAGATCAGAAGTGATGTGTCTTCTTTTTTCAGAATGTTTGGATTCGGCGACCGGGTTATGATTAGTCCAACAATAATTATCAGAGTTTATATATTTTAGAGGCTGCCAATTCAGTCCAGCGCTCGTTTCTCCACCTGCTTGAGGTCAGATCCGGGGCTGCCGGTCAGTGAGTCACACATAATTCAAAAGAACCGGGAAGAAGGGTTCGCTTTTTGGGAGCACGGGCAGGAGCCAGCAAGGGGTTTTGGATGGCCGACAAAAGTTGGGGTGCGCAGAGCAAGCGGTAAGCGGCGAATAGTTCCAGTCGTCCACTGGTTCTCGAACTGTCCTCGCGAGCGGGCTTTCCGGTCACTAAACCCGGAGATTAGGCGTCCATGTGACGAATAATGATTCGCTTGCCTTCGGTGGGCCCCGCCACATTTGGCAGTCAGTTGCAACGAAATGAAAAGGCTGTCTCAGCAGACGATCCTTGCCTGTTTCAGTAAATCTCTTGGACCCAGAACTCGGTCGAGAGGTCGCGTCAGAATCGAAGCCGTGCCCTTCCGTGCGATATAATATTCCGAAATGTGTCGAAAAAGTTGCCCCCGGAATCGCGTTTAAGACATTCTATCGAACTCGTTGGAGTACGAAGGTTGGTACAGAGATTTCGGTCCGTCTTTAGACACGGAACTCCGCAATCGCTTCCTGGAATATTGAAGATCGGCGATCTTTGAAATATAAATTGTCGTAGGACTAATGATTGGAGTCTTCGAAACCTTTTTTCGCCATCTGTGTCTTAATGCGAGAGAAAAATTCCCAGGCCGATGCGGAAGTCATTCGGTCATAAAACCGGTAGAGAAAATTAAGCGTAGCTTAACGAAAGTCAGACTCGAAGTCGAAGGAAGTTCAATGTCATTCTAGACTCGGCGCTGACGTCCTGACTGACTCGCTTGCTGGGGCATCAAGGTCGAGGCGACAAGAAAGGTCCTCGTATATGGACAATGCGATCGGAATTACGAGGCTCGACGAGGGATGAATGTTACACGACCGAGGTCTCACGAGATCGAGTCAAGGCCCAAAGGCAACTTGAATTCCCGAGGACGTCCTCGGCCCTCGTTGCGTAAATCAGCGAATTAAGCGAGGACCAGTGCACACCACGCGAAGACCCGAGGGACGCAGTAATTCCCAGCTTACCGGAAGCGCTTACTTAGGTCAGAGCTCAGGGCAGGAGCGAAGCGCGAATCTATCCACCAATCCTTCGGTAGATCTGGGAAGATTAACGGTCAGATCTAGCCTTCGGGCAAAGGCAGCGCCCTGCGTGAAGAGAAGAGGGGCGCAGATTTAGCGGCCGGATAAATTTGGAGCAGGTACTAGTCGCTACCTTCCTTTCACATTCGTACGGTGCGGGCCCCGGCTGGCTACGCGAGAGCCAAATGGCAGCGCGAATCTCAACCCTAGATCCGGAATCGGACGACGGGGGCGCCACGAAAACCTCCGCATCGGAGACCGTAGGGTCCCCGAGGTAGAAGTACGACGGTCCGCTGGGGATTTCACGGAGTAAATGGGAGGGAATTACCGGCGCACTTTCTCTCGTGGCCGGAGGGACGGTCGGGCCCTCGTCCCTCGTCCCGTCTGAGCGACGCCTCGCGCCCCGCCCGGCTGCTGGACAGAGGAGCAGAGTCTAGTTGGTCTGCTGCGGGTCCGGCTGGCCTAGTTCCTCCGCGGTGCAGACGAGCCGGGACGAGCGAGAAGCGCAGAGATGCGCAGCGGAGAGGAGCCCGGGAGGCAGCAGCGGCATCAGGAGACGAGCGGACGGGAGGGAGCGCGCATGTTGTTATTGTTGTTGTAGTCTCGTCGAGGCGAGATGGAGATCGAGGAAGCGGCGCTGCGGGACGCGGGCGCGGAAATGCGATGAGCCGCGGATTGGATCGGGGAGGGAATATTTTTCCTGGTCTCGGGGAGGTGATATAAATTGTGTGAGGGGGAGGGGCTGATCTTTGGGCGGGCGCGGGAGACGAGGTTCGGAGATTGTCGATTGAGCGTGGAGTGCAGAGAGGAGAGGCGAGGCGAGAGGATTGGATTGGATTGGATTTTTGAGAGGGAGGGAGAGATGGAGGCAGCTGCAGCAGCTCTCGGCGTGTCAGTGCCGGTGTTGCGGTTCGTCGTGTGCTTTGCCTTGACGTTGCCATGTAGTTACCTGTGGCGATTCGTCATGGGGGCGAATAATCGCCACGCCTACTCCGCGCTTACCGGAGCTGTGTTGAGCTACTATTCGTTCGGAGTGACGTCGAATTTGCACTTCGCCGTGCCAATTTGCGTCTCGTATTTGAGCATGGTGCTCTACAGGCGGCGTTGCGGGGTCATCACCTTCTTTGCAGCCTTCGCATTCCTTATTTTCTGGTCCGTTTCCGCAATGCCTTGAATTTCTCTCATCGCCTGTCAACCAAACAAAAAAAAAAAAAAACGTAATGTTTCGAATGCTTTGCCTGAGCCGTCCACTTTTGGCGTGGATCACTGTATCTAGCTGACAGTTGGGGAAGAGCTAATCCGACTCAAGGCTCGGGGTGAAATATGGGGAAAATTGCTGAACGAATGGTGATCAATCTCGTCATCGGGAAAGCTTGCTAGAAGATCGCGATATGTTTTTTGAGCCCCTGCAACCCAGATTAGATGTACTCAACGATCATTCGTTCTCTTGGCCGTGAACCTTTTGCATGGGCGCGTTATCTTGAGTCTCTGCCTCAAGTCTTTACTCCATGCCAGCGTCGGCTTCCAAACCTGCCAAGCACTGTGTTGGTGCAAGGTTTAGTCGACCTCATTTAATATTCAATTCCCAGTATCGTCCTCTGTTTTTCTCCGCCTCTGCTCCGGGGGCAGCAGTTCGGTGTTACCTTTGCAGGGTTCAGAGTGCTTTATCTAAAGGTCTGTTGAGAACTCGAATGACCTTCAGTCTAATTTTTGTGGGCTGGTCGAACAGTGAGAGTGGTGATCAGTCACACATGTGTGGAGAACGATGTGACAGAGTTGAAGTGGCAGTCATGTGAAGCTAAAAGTCAAGCAGCTGAGATAGGTGTTTCCTCTTCTGCATTGCGTCGTGCTGAACCTATCCCTACGTTCGATCCGTTTCTCGCATTCTGAAGTCAGAGTTGAGAGCATAAGCTTGTGGTCTGAATCTGATTCCGCTCGTGAAGCACGTCTGGGTACATCTATTTCATCCCGACCAATCCTCGCGCCCTGAATCCTGATTTCCGTTTTGTCCAGTGACTTTGTGTTTAGTTCACCTTCGCTTAAATCCTGGATGTTCTGTCTTTTTCCAACGGGATTTACTTCGTTTTACGACACGTTTTCCCCTGTCAAAGGACATCGTGAAGGTTTGAGGTCCAGGATTCATGGTTCCATAGAGTACCAAGGTAATATAGATATTTATTATTCGGAATAGAGGTCGATCAATCGATTGCGCATGGGTCTGCTCCGCTTACAGGTTATCCAAGACTGAAATCGTTGAGTAAATATATTTTTTGGCATTCTCGATTTGACATTGCATCGGGTTGGCACATGAGGCTTGCAAAACATGTATTCTTGCTACGTATTCTTCAGTATCTCAGCTGGAATAGAGTCGTTGTTCATCTTTAGTGTCGTGTGTATTGCAGCCATGTAATCTACATGAGTGGCGATGCATGGAAGAACGGGGAGATCGATTCTACAGGTATTCCTCTTTGCTTTCACCCTTCTTTATTATTGTTTCTGTACGATCACGCATCAGACTTCAACTTGCTGTTTCCGACAATGTCTATGACGTCGTTGGTACTCAGCAAAGGAAATTTCTTGTGCTTACTCGGTTCTATGAATTCTGTTATCATCATCAACAGTGTAAGAGGTGGTGCTGCACTCAGTGAACTAAAGACCTCTGGATATGTGAAAATGTAAATAGTAATATAGTAAAATGAACTACTGCAGTTTAAGTTGCAATGAACATAGATATACGTGGTGCCATTTGTCGACGTGTTTTTCTTTTATTTTCTGTTATAGTTCCAGTTCAGGCTAATATATCTTGGTGATGAGGTTTAGCTGAGCTGATTTGGGTGCTGAACCTACGAATAATTTTTGTCTGCTTTTCGATGTTTCAGGTGCCCTCATGGTGTTGACCTTGAAAGTTGTTTCAGCTGCAATGAACTACCAAGACGGCTCATTGTCGGAAGAAGGGTTGCGCTCAGCCCAACAGAAGTACAGATTGACCAAGCTTCCTTCTTTCGTTGCCTACGTCGGATACTGCCTGTGTTGTGGAACGCATCTGGCAGGGCCCGTGTTCGAGCTGAAGGATTATATTGACTGGACTGAGGATAAAGGAGTATGTTTCTCCGCCTCCTACAAAACAAGATCAGGATGTCGGCCAATTTTCTCTGAGCAGCTGTTAACTTCATATAAAGTCTTCCAATCGAGTTTACTTTACATCTTTTCATTCTCTTTCGAAGGCTAACATCTTTCTCTTTGGCGCAGTTATGGGATCCTAAACAACAAAGACCCCCTGCTTCTCCATATGGTGCAGCATTTTCATCGTTTATCAAAGCCCTGTTTTGTATGGGGATGTTCGTCTTCCTCACCCCAAGGGTTCCCCTTTCCAAGTATTCCGATCCTTCTTATTACGAATGGAGCTTTTTGCAAAGAGTTGGATATCAAATGCTGAGTGGATTCACCACTCGATGGAAGTACTACTTTATCTGGTCACTTGCAGAATCATCAGTCATTCTATCAGGTTTTGGATTCAGCGGGTGGAACGGTGACGCTCCTAAGTGGGATCGTGCCTGCAATGTCAATATACTTGAGGTTGAATTGGCTTCGAGTGCAGCCCAGCTGCCCATCCACTGGAACATTCACGTCAGCACCTGGCTGCGACACTGTATCCTCTTCAATAGCATGCACTCACAGGAGAGGCAAATTGGTGTTTTGTTAAAGAACTCAGAAATTTCTTGCGGTGATCATCTGGCATGCAGTTCGTCCCGTTTGTAATTTCAATCCTCAGTACTTTGAGAAGGGAGCTATCCTTGACGAAATATTTTTAGATGTTTACGAAAGGTTGGTTCAGAAAGGAAAGAAGCCTGGATTTTTGCAACTCCTGGTCACTCAGGTTGTGAGTGCAGTGTGGCATGTAAGTAACCTATTAATCAGTTTTTGACTGTGATCTTAAAACCTTTGAATCTACTCGACTTAGAACTGTGTGCTTGTTGTCCAGAATCTGCATCTCATGGTTGTCACCTTTGACGCGCAGGGACTATATGCCGGATATCTGTTATTTTTCATCAACAGTGCCCTATTTATCGCGGCCAGTAAAGGTATCAAGATAAGAAAGATAACACTGTAGTTATACTACTTAGTTTTAGTAAAGTTGGAAGTGTGCAATAAACTAGCTGATTACAATTGTACTTTGTTTTCAGGCATTTCCAATTGTAGAACATCCTCCCTGTAAGTGGTTAAATGCTTCAACTATTTGGTGTTCTGAACAATTACTGATGCTGATCATTCCAATGTGACTATTGCAGTTATTTACAGGTATCAAAGGGCTGTTCCTGAAAGCAATGTGATCCTCACGAAAGTTCTACAAGTAGTGAACGGCGTCTTCTCGTCGTTCGTTCTCAACACAACTTCCATCGGTTTCATGGTTGGATACTACACCTTGCACGACTTAATCGAAACTCTATCTTAATAGCCTTGTGGAAGCAGTGCTGCTCTTTTGCTGTTCTTGAATGTACTTTGTAAGCTGTACTAGCCCTGATTTTTTTTTGAATCGCAGGTGTTGGGCCTAAGAGAAACCCTTGCGGCCTACAGCAGTATATACTACTCAGCAACCATCGCCTCCTTGGTCCTGACAGTGTTTGGTGCTGTCGTAAAGCCCCCGAGACCTGCAAGCACAGGGCAGTTCAAACCAAAGAAAGTCGAGTAGTGGTATCTTTGTTCTCCGAAGTATAGACGTAAACATCACAACATGGTAACAGTTAGGCTGTTCGCAGTAGGTTATCGTCTGATAGGAGGGGGAAGTAGCTCTAGAACCTGCCTACATTGTTGATAGACTAAAGGTCAGCGTTTATCAATGTCAGTGTCGTACCGTAGACAGTATTTTGTCTACACCGCTGGGACCTCTGTGTTGGAAAATTCATTGATTGATTACTGGTGCTGAATTTGCAGAGCTTCCTTCACGGGCACTGAATAAAAGAAGAACTAAAAAGTGTTCGGCTCGCGGTTTGAATCCACGTTTTTCTCGTATCCTCTTAACACTGGATTGCCTCAAACTGTCGGAATCTCCTGAAACACATGTCATGCATAAAAGTTTATTTCAAAAATACAAAAGAATCTACATATATGACACATGTTTTCAATTTAATAGTTTCTTATTATGTAAATGCTATAATCGTGCAGGTGGACATCTCCTACCTGCTCTCGCTATAGTTTACACAACGGAATACCGCACGCTCCGATGGTCTGACAGGAGGGAAGATAGCCCGTGGTGTGATGTTTCAAGGTCAGGACTATAGAAATTTCACTCCATTGCAAGAATATTGGGGGATTCTTTTATTCGGTACAAAGCAGCTGCATAATACTGTCAATCACCATTCTGCCATTATATGTTATCAATATGAACTATTGATCACAAATGATGGATTTATTAAAACTGCTGTCAAGAAATGACCTCCGCCCAGTAAGAAGTGACTGATCACCATATGGATAGTTTCATAAATCGATCACAACTGATATTTGATTTCATGGTTTGAATAGTAGCTGTGGATACTTACCTCTTGAGCCATTTCATGTTCTATTTAATAGGGTTAGTTATATATATAAAACAGAACTTCGATATCGACTGAGGTTCCGAGTATTCTTTTAATGGAACAAATGGAACACATGCATGCAGTAGCTTTCCTATGATCCAGTACTATTCATATGTCTGCAAAGATATCTTCATTGATTTCTAACATTATGAATAAAATTATGTTAATTTCTTTGCATTTTGTTTCATTTATTAAACTGTCTCCTGGAGATAATTAGGGAATTTTTTCTCTGTTACTAATCACACTATAGCTATAACTACAATGTCTGTGGTGTAAATATGCTTGTTTAATTTGGTGATTGGACCTTTTTGTTAAGACAGACCGTCCAAAGATGGTTTGATAAACGTAGGGAGAATAACATCACTAGCTTCCGAATGAGTTGACAATCTCATTTCGATTGTCCACATGTAACCATTTCATTTACTCGAGAACCTACAAAGTTGGATATGGATAGTCACCTTTTTACTCAATCTAACACAATAACAAAGGACCTGAAAACCCTCTTGGAATATACTGATTAGTTAGTGAACTTCGGAAAAGTGATTATAATATCCTCATTTCCTAGGAAAATAACATGATAGCGAGTAGAGATCCTTATCCTCTATATATTTAAAGAAATAGAAGTTTGGACATCTCTCAATGCAGCATACTTAGTTATCAAATTTGATCATTCTTTTGATGTAACTTAGATCAAGGATAATCCAGTCTCAATATATTATTTTTATTAGCTGGTATAAAATACAAATCCAATGCCAAAAAAATTTATTGGATTTCTTTCTAGTGGACAAAAAAAATCGATCGTTTTTCATGCAGGCATTTTCATCCTGAAGAACCGTTGTCAACATTTTTCATCTGATTTTTACTTCTACTTTTGTGAACACTTTTTATGCGGACTTTACCTTAAAAGAACCGATTTTAACCGTCAACAGCTGCCTTTTACTTTATGGAGGGCCTAACCTTAATCTATCTCGATTTCGATCTACATACACGAGATTATAAAGAGTAAAGTCGGAAACCTTTTACTAAAATTTTAACCATGATATCCTCATCCAAGAACCAAAAGCCAGATATGAAGATTTCCTACTCTTGACTAGGCCATAAAATTGTGTGACCCCCTCGACTACAGCACACGATGGGTAGCAACAGGGGCTTCAAATAGCCTTCATACCGCCCTGTTACGTGTGTGATTGAAACCATATTGCTTTAAGGCTACCGGGAAATATTGACAGGTGTATTTTTGGTTTACAACCTTAAGAGGAGTATGATAACTACTAATTCTCTAAAAATTTTAATTGTGAAGTATGTTGATATCTCATTCATATTTTATGAATATTTGATCCATTATCAAAGATGAAATATCATAACTTCAATTTTTACTCTATCAAAATGTTGATCAAATGTTTTAAAAAGTGCTGGAAATAATCTCTTTACCTTTTATAATCATTATGTCAAAGATACGGCATATTGGGATTTGTACTAGTAATTTAGAAATATGAGTTGTTTCCAATTTTAATAGATTATCCTCTTTTACTATTCCTAATTAATTGAAGCTAATTTTAACTTTGTATCATTTTTTTAAACTATATAAGTTTCAAATATTAAGTGTCATGTTTTATCGGAAAATAATCTAAATCTCATGCAAATATATTCAGCATCTGATTCACCTCATTGAGTCTACATACAGAAGAAGGTAAGTTTGTTTAACTAAGAAATATGATAAGCTCTTTTCTATAGAGTCTGGCTATCTAGTCTAACTAACAAGATTTACACTCACTTGATTGAAAGAGATTAAAAATATTGATAATAAACTCTACTTGTGATTCTGATGTAAAACTTGCCTAATAACATAATATCTTCTAAAGGTTTTCAAAAACATAAGTGAGATCATCGCATGAGTTGGATTGATTTTATTGTTAATGTTTACTAAATTTAGCTTTACTTAAATTGCATATAACATAAAAATGAGTGTCACTAAACTATTCATCACTTGATCAGTTGGAAAATGTAGCAGATCAGCTATAGTTTACACTATCAAACACATAATATTGTCCACTGTCTTCTCATAGAAATTGACTAAATTTTTTACTTCCAATAGCATCAATTAAACACTTGGTGGCAAAAAATTCGATATATGAAACCACGAGAATCCTATATTATGTAGATTTGTAATCATAATGTCTCATGTAAATCATTATCTCTAGATATACATTTTTCATGTAACGACTTACTTCCAAATCATGAATATACCATATTGTAACAGGTGCATGTATTAATCAAAGTATAGCACAATATATCACAAGTGAATTTACTCTCATACGGTATACTCGTGTGTGAAACTTTTAGCAATCAATTTGATGCTGAAAACAATGTCATATGTTTTATTCCTGACATATTTTTTTATTTTTTTACTTCTTTACTTATCTTATATCAAACTAAGAATGATTTTTTTAAAGATTCAATTAATTTTCAGGTTTTATGATCAATAAGTAAGCAATTGCATTTCACGCTGCAAACAAATAAATCTTTACAAATCTATTGATAAAATCTTGAGTTTGTATAATATAGGATTCTTTTTCTTTCAAAATTAATGCATTGTCATCATTTGTTTTAGTTTTAATATTTTGATAATAAGAAATGAATGAATTGATACATATTTTTAATGCTACTAATGCTTGTTCAATGTGATGATATCCTTGTAAACAATTTAAGTTGATTTGAATTGCTTCATGTAATAACTTAAAATTCATCAACAAATTATTGCTATTTTAAGTCTTTTTATTTTAAAAATCTACTCTATATGTTTCGTAGCTTTTCTCCAAATCACATCATTAAGTTCATAATGTTTGGCAAAACAAGCACAAAGAAAACACTCAAGAATATAATTAAGAGATCACTCAAGTACATGAACAAGGGAAGAGTTTACAATTGTTCGAGGCAGCAAAATCTAGCTCTCCGTCTTAAGTAGACACTAATCATTTGGATTCCACTAATCCAATACTAATAACACACCGTCATCAACAACAATGTTTAAAATAGACATTGGACATCTTAAGTTCCTTGATCCGATATTAATAACGCACATATCTCAACAATGTCTTTAATAGACACGAACCATCTGGATTTCATTGATCCAATATTGATAACGCACGGTCATCAACAAGAAGTCATTAACATTTTGTCACAAAAAATTACCTCATAAGACTTATATCTAAAAATTTTTTATTTAACATATGTTAGTAGCATAACAATCTCCTTGACTTAAATAATTACTTTGCAGCAAGTCAAACCTTACAAGATAAACTCTTTAAACAAGAACTAATTGGAACTAAGCTATAGTCAAAACAACATAAAGAAAAAATATGTAGAAATAACTAAAAATTGCTAGTAAACTACTTGTGCTCCTCATACAAAAATTACATAATTGCACAATATCTTATTCAATTAGAAATGATTGAACAAGCTAAGATAAAATGATATTTGATGTCGATGTGTTTCATTCTCTGTACATCATTTGATTTGCAGCATGATATAATGCACTTTGGTTATCACAATAAAGATTGATAACCTCATGTTTGAATCCCAACTCTTTGATAAGCTTATTTACCCAAATATCTTCCTTTTCCACTTCTGACGCCGCTACATATTAAGCTTGCATTGTAAATTTGACTATTCACTTTTGCTAGGTAGATCTTCAACTAATGCATCCACCACTTAATGTAAATACATATACAATTGTAGAAATTTGGTTCAAATCTTATCTAGAGTAAATATCAACATGGTCTAACAAAAATTTGACATTGTGTCATAAATCATCAAATAAGTAATTTTAATCCTTAGCATTTTCAAGTACATGAGAATATATGTCACTACTTTCTAGTGCATCTTTATTGGATTCAACATGCCATTCATCTTGTCTGTAGCTAAAGCAATATCAAGTCTTGTTCATATCATCAAATACATGACGTTGTTGACAACTTTGTCATAGAAAATAGATTACATTGTTCTCTTCTCAATGGTATTAATTGAAAATTGAGCTGCAAAAAGTCTAAAATATGCTACAAAAAAAATCCATACTTTTTTAGAGAATTTCATGTTAAATTTGTCAATCACACCTTGAATCTACCTTTGCATTGACTGTAGAATCATAACTTCTTCCTCATTAAATCTCTATGAATATTCATGCCTAATATCATCTTTGACTTATTCATATATTTCGGGTAAAATGCAAACTTCAAATAGGTCTTGTATTTATCGACATCACATTGATTTTTTGCCAATATAAACATGTTATCCATGCAAAATATCAAAATAATAAGATTGAACTTCTCACTATTCATGTTTTTCATGTATGTACAAGATACATACACACTCCATTCAATTTTTTGTGTTTTCATGAACTCATCAAATCTTGCATTATATTGATTAGGAGCTTGTTTCAATCC